GGGACGGCTCCAGCTTGGGGGCTGTGGCACAGACCTCAGAGTGCTGCGCGTCCTGGGGCTGTGACACCCACCGGGGATGGGGACGGGGACAGGGATGGCTTCAGGGTGGCAGCTCAGCCGCTCCTCCTCCTGTGCCAGCCAGGTGCATGGCACAGTGCAGCCCCTCTGCCGGGGTTATCCCCGGGGTAGGGTCCTCAGCACAGGCACAGGCCCCAGCACCTGCTCCCGGGTGGCAGCAGGTGACGCAGTCCAGCACGGGGAGGTGGTGCCGGGCGCTGCTGTCCCTGTGCAGCCCCAGGTCCCTGCCACGCATGATGGGGCAGGCTGCAGTGTGGGGTTTCCTGGCACAACGGGCCCCGTGTCACTGCCTGCCACGTCCTTGCGCCGTCCCTGCCACAGGGACCCACTGGCCTTCTCTCCCAGGTGGAGGCAAGCGTGGATGGGAGCTCATGGTGACAATTCAAGGGTGACCCACACGGGGCCCTTATGGGGACATGGAGAGGAGCAACGCTGCCAGCTGCCCCAGCACCTTCCAACCCCAAACACCTGCACATTTTGGGTGGGCCCTGTGTGGTGCCACTGCCCTGCACGGTTCCCCAGGGTGGCAGGAGGGCAGAGCCCCCGGGCAGGGGGACACCCAGCCCCCAGCATCACACACAGTACCAGCCCTGACCCGCTTACCCAGGGGATGCTCCAGCAGGGAGAAGGGCTGAGCCGTGTCCCCAGATGCCCTGGATGAAGGTGGGGGGCTCAGCCTGGACTGGCCCCCACCTCCTTCCCCCAAACCCCCACCTGCCCTGGGGTCTGGCCTGCAGCACCTGTGGGGCCCCCCCCGTGCATCCCTGGGGTGCATGCAGGGCCAGCTTTGCTCTCGCCCTGCAAATGGCGGCAGGGGCCCAGTGGGGGCCACCAGCGCCCCTCCGCTGGCCAGGCTTGGGGGGGGGTGGGTGAGAAATCCTCTCTGCAGGCGAGCGGGGCCAGAGCCGCCCTTGCAGCCCCTGCCTCTCCCTGCGCCCGCTGATCTGCCGCCACCGCCGCCTGCGCCCAGCTTTGATCTCCGCCGCACCAGGCTCCTGGGAAAAATGACCCCAAATTACCACGGAAATAAAACCACCGGCGATG